AGCAACGCTTTCATTCAGAATTGAAGGTCAGATAAAGAGCTTCACAGCTAAGAAAAAGCTAAAGGAGTTTACCACCACCAAACCAGAATTATATGAAATGCTAAAAGGTATTCTTTAAGAAGAGGAAGAAGAAGAAAAATATAAAAATTATGAACAACAAAAACATATCAATCAACAAGTGAATCTAAAAAACCAAGGGAATAAAAAATCTGATGAACAGTATTAACTGGAATATAACAGAATCAGGGGCATAGAAAGGGAGTGGACTGACAATTCTCGGGGAGGAAAAGAAAGGGGGGGTGTGGGAAAAGACTGGACAAAAATCGTATGCCTATGGATGAGGACAGTGGGGAGGAGGTAAGGGCAGAGGGTGGGGTGGGACAGGTGACAGGGAGCTATTGAGGGGGAAAAAAGATGAACAATTGTAATAATCTGAACAATAAAGATTTATTAAATTTTTTAATAAGATACCCCCTCCTCAGTGCAGTAGACTACTATTTGCTAGACAGTTGTGTGGTAACCAAGTGTGAGCAATGCTCCTTAGAGTTGTTCTGAACAATGAGGTGGCTCAGAATTTCATACTCTCATTCCAGTACACAGCAGAAGAAACTGGTTTTCAACCCTATTATCTTAGTTTGGTTCAAGTTATCTATATTCAGAAGGTCCTTCTTAGAATAAGTTTAAAATAGGAGATTAGGAGGTTGCATCATCATGGATGTGTGTTTTTTTGGTTTTGTGTTTCATTGGTTTGTGAGAGGGATGTTTTGTTGTTGTTGTTGTTGTTGTTTAATCTTTATTCATATTATTACACGTTCCTCTCCCCCCCTCCGTTGCTCCCCTCCACCAGGTTCCCACCCCACCCTCTGCCCTTTCCCCCCCACATCATTGTCCTCATCCATAGGTGCATAGTTTATGTTCGGTCTCCTCCCACATTCCTATCTCCCCTTTTCCCCGAGAATCGTCAGTTCACTCCCCTTCCATACCTCTGATTCTGTTATATTCAACAGTTAATATTGTTCATCAGATTTTTTAAAAATTTTTTTGGTTTGTAGATTTACTTGTTGATAGTTACATATTTGTTGTTCATAGTTTTTATCATTATTTACTTTCTCTTCCAAAAGAGCCCCCTTCAGCAATTCATATAATTCTGGTTTGGTGGTGGTGAACTCCTTTAGCTTTTTTTTTTCATTAGTGAAGGTCTTTATCTGGCCTTTGATTCTGAGTGATAGCTTTGCTGGGTAGATTATTTTTGGCTGTAGGTTCTTACTATTCATCACCTTGAATATTTCTTGCCATTCCCATCTGGCCTGCATGGTTTCTGTTGAGAAATCAGCTGACAATTATATGGGTGTTCCTTTATAGGTAACTACCCGTTTCTCTCGTGCTGCTTTTAATATTCTCTCTTTGTCTTTTGCTCTTGGAATTTTAATTATAATTTGTCTTGGTGTGGTCTTCTTTGGATTCCTTTTGTTTGGAGTTCAGTGTGCTTCCTGGATTTGTAAGTCTAATTCTTTCACCAGGTGGGGGAAGTTTTCTGTCACTATTTCTTTTAGTATGTTTTCCATATCTTGCTCTCTCTCATCTTCTGGGACCCCCATAATTCTGATGTTGGTTCGCTTGAAGTTGTCCCAGAGTTTTCTTACATTATCTTCAACTTTCTAGATTCTCTTGCCTTCTTGCTTCTGCGGAAGAGTGTCTTCTGGCTCTTTATGTTCCAAATCTTTGACTTGATTCTTGCAATCTTCCATTCTGTTTTTAGGACTCTGTATAATATTTTTATTTCAGACAATGTATTCTTTATTTCTTGTTGATCCCTTATTATTTCTTGTTGATCCCTTTTCATATCCTCATAGGTCTCGTTTATTTTATCTGCCTTTTTTAAGAGATTCTTGAACAACCTCATAAGTGTGGTTTTGAACTCTATATCCAGTTGCTTTTTGTCCTCCATTTCTTTCGTTTGTGATCTATTTCCTAGTCTCGGCATTTTCGCAGCTTCCCTGATGGGGCGGAGTTTCAGGGTGGAGCCTACAGGCTTGGCTTCCGTCAGCCACACCCTATGCGGCTCCTGAGTCTCAGGGTCCTTCAGTACTCACTGCAAGCACCTCTGAGAATGAGGTGCCCTCGAGTTTCGCCTGCTACCAAACAGTCTAGTCTCTCCCACAATGGGCCCAGAACTGGGGTTCAGTTCATTTGGAAGTGGGATTGGAGGTGGCGTTCAGAGCAGTCTGGAGCCCCTGTCTCCTTCCTGCCAGGGCACTCCCGCGGCACAGCTAACCGTCCCTTCTCTGCGCTCAATGTGCGCGCCTCCGGGACTTCCTTTTGCCGCTCCCCCGGGGTTCCGCCTTACCGCCCAGCTTCCTCTGGATGAGCCTGGGTCCCTGGGGTTTAGCCCAGAACTGGGGTTCAGACCAGTCAGGTCTGGGGTTCAGCACAGTCGGAGCTTTTATCTCCTTCCTGCTAGGGAATTCCAGCCAGGCACTCAGCCGCCCCCTCCTCTCTGGCTCCATCCTCTCGGCGCGCGCCGCGTGTCTCCGTACCTTAGGCTTTTACAGCTCCTCCGCTCTTCCTTCTGGTTTTCTCCTTGCTTCTCGTTGTAGAATTTCCAGTCAGTCGACTTTCCTGTAGTTCTGGGTAATGTCCATTTTATATTTTAGTTGTATTTTATTGAAATTGTTGTGTGCAGCTGCGGTTAGGTGTTTACCTGTGCAGCCATCTTGGATCCTCTCCGAAACTCTGTTGTTGTTTTTAAGAGAGGGAGGTTTGAAGAACATTTTCCTGCTGCCTTCTCATCAGTTTGTAGAGTTTTTTATGACCCTGTGATTTTAAGAGTTAACTCTCAGGAAGGTGCTTTGGGGGGAAGGAGGGAACTAACATAGAGAAAAGAACTTCCCAGATTTTATTTTTAAATGGATTATATAAATTGAGAGTAAAAACCAAAAATCCAAAGGGGGTGAAAAAAGAAAACTTGATTTATGCAGCAGATCTTATGCTTGGAGAGCCCAACTTTCTCCAGTGCTGATATTCTTTCAATAGCCTTAAAACAGCCCTTGGGCCTTACAAAAGGAATTGATTTATTCCCATGTTCAGCTTCTTCTAGTTCTTCTAAAATACCATGCTTGCCTGGCTTCTGTAGTCTAGCTGTTGAGTGTCGACCCAGGAACTGAGGATGTTGGGTGTGCAGGAAGCCGCCAATTGATGTTCCTCTCTTGTTGATGTTTATATCTCTCTATCCCTCTCTCTTCCCCTCTCTCTAAAACTCAAACATTAAAAAAAAAAATACTATGCGCGCGCGTGCACATAGTGGGATTGGAGGTGGCGTTCAGAGCAGTCTGGAGCCCCTGTCTCTCTCTCTCTCTCTCTTTCTCTCTCTCTCTCGGACTTTGCTAGGGCTATAGTATTTACTGAGAAAACTCTTACCCTCCTGCTTCCCTTTCCCATCAGATACTTTCTGTAAACTTACTAAGCACTTAGGACATTCTAGTAGGAATTAATGTTTGTCTTGTTTATCGCTCTTTTTGTATAGATACTTTATATATGATGTATCTGCCTCATGAATAAAATGTTTAGGAAGTATTAATAAAATTTAGTTTTCTGATTACTTATATGAGTATAGACTCGTATAATTAAAACATGCTCCTCAAGTGATTTTTATTAGTAATTTAAGGGGAAAGAAAAGGAAAGACATGAATATATAAGTTCTAGGGGTAAAGATCAATATAGTATTACTGAGTGTTCCATATATGTCAGTATTCTGTTAGGTACTGCACGAAATACAAGAGGTATAAATCTAGCTGCTCAAAGCAGTCATTATCAAATCATGAAAAAGAATTGAGATCAGCCAAAAAGGAACTTTGAATCTGGAGAGGTTTGAGCATCTGAAATTTGTGTTCCTGCATTTCATTTCTAATCAGCATTCATTGACCATCACTTGTGTGTCAGATTGAATAACCTATTACGGTACTAGTAAATGTAATAAGGAAATGGTGTGTCCAAGGAAGGTTGTTGTCCAAGTTAAGGCAGCACCATAGTAAGGAAAGCTATCTAGAGTGAGAGTGTGATGTTGGATTTCACAGATAATACTTTTTTTTTAAACCTCACCTGAGGATATGCTCGTTGATTTTTGTTTTGAGAGAAAAAGACATCAGTTGGTTGCCTTTCCATAAACACTCCAATTGGGAATTGAACCTGCAACCTAGATATGTGCCCTGACCAGGAATCAAACCGGCAACCTCTTGGTTCATGGGTCAATGCTCAACCACTGAGCCATGCCGGCCAGACTGACACTTGGTCTTTTATCCTGACTCTGCCATTTACTTTATAGCTTTTGTATCTAACTTAGTATCTATTATCCAGTTATTGGGATAATTAATTAAATAATTGTGTAAAGTACTTAATTAGTACAGTGCATTGCACATAGTAAGTGCTCAATGTAAGGTTAGCAATAAATAGTTTAGTATTGTCTCTATCAGCATTTGGATCAAGATCTAGGTTCCTTTGCAAAGACTACAGACTCCGACATTAACAATATTTGACCCATTCTCGTTCTTTTAGTACTTCCTACCCACAATGTAAATATATTTCTCAAAACAGAATTATTTACCAGATATACCATATTTTATCTTTATGGAAGCACAACTTTACATGATCTGTTGCCTACATATCTGATCTGATCTTCTGCCACACCTTTCCTTGGGCACACCAAGTTTATTCCTGTCTTTACCTCTTGCTTAGTATGCTTTTCTTTCTGAGAGCCCCATACCTCGGTAGCTGTACCTCATTTAGCCTCCTTACTGTCACCTCTTTAAAAAGGCCTTCTCTGACAACCCTGTCTAAAACAGTAATTCTTATCAGTTTCTTACCCTGATTTGCATTTCTTCTTGGCACTTCTAACTCTCTTGTATTATATTACACATTTATTCATTAATTACAAGATTATTCTAGAAGGGGTTAAGTTGGGAAATAATACTGAAAGAAATCTTACATTGCCTTTTTTATTTTAGAAAAATGGTGATTGTGGAAAGATTATGAAGAAGATGTCTCTTCGTAAACAGCGCTTCATGCAGTTTTCTTCACTGGAACATGAAGGAGAATATTACATGACACCACGAGACTTCCTCTTTTCAGTAATGTTTGAGCACATGGAACGTGAGTTGCTTTTATAAATTTTATTTTAGTTTTTTAAATTAAAAACACAAATATTGGGGCTGAAAAACCTGTTTTTCAAATTATTGATAGGTTTTCTTCATTTTAATTATCATCGATCTTTGCTCAAAATGCATTTATTTATTGTTTAGCTATTTCAGTCTTTGTGACACAGTAGTTAAACTTGTAAACATGTATTTATGTAAGAAAATTTTTTTGTATATGGATTTCTCTAAAGAGAAAGAGGAAAAATAATTAAGATTTTTTAATGTCACTAGATGAATTCTTAATAAAATAATTTTATCCAGCATGTTAATTTTCATTGGTATTAATGTTTTAAATTGGACAAAAAAATGAAACTTAGAGCAATTAAGAGGGTCATATAATGGAGTTATGATGTCGTCCGTTTAAAAAAAACTGAAAAACTAGAATAAGAAACAAAAATTCAAAAGCTAGAATTACATAATTTTTGTTCATAAACTGCCAACTCTCATTTACTTCAAATAATATCAGAAATTCTTCATTTTATTTTCTAAATTAGTCCTTTTTCCTTTGCATGGAATAGATATGGCCCCATCCTCTGGGCTTTGGAATGTTCTATGAAAATTTATTGGCTTCTATCCTTTTTGAAGTATGCTAGAAGTGCTGCTCTGAAAGAAGCTGTATATGGAACAGAAACTGGATAGGGCAAGGTACATGGAGGTCTATTATTATCTAGAGCAATTTATGTCCAAAGGCACTCTTGAAAACAACAAGCAGTCAACTGGCAATTATTGGAGCTTAATATCTTGATGCAATCAAGAAAAGAGACCAAGCTGAAACTGGTTTGGCTCAGTGGTAGAGCGTTGGTCTGCGGACTGAAGGGTCCCAGGTTCAATTCCGGTCAAGGGCCATTCTAGCACGAATCTTTGTGCATCGGCCTTCTAGTTCTCATTTAATCTTTTAGATACTGTAAAATCTGTCCCCATTTTCATTTCTGATTTTAGTAATTTAAGAGTTCTCTCTCTTTTTATAATCAAACTAGAGGCTCACACAAGAGGGGGGTGTCCCTCAGCCCAGCCTGCACTCTCTCCAATCTGGATCCCCTTAGGGGATGTCCAACTGCCTGTGGGATCGGGCCTAAACAGGCAGTCAAACATCCCTTTCACAATCTAGGACTGCTGGCTCCCAACTACTCACCTGCCTGTCTGCATTTCTGTTTGCCCCTAACCACTTCGGCCTGCCAGCCTGATAACCCCCTAACCACTCCCCTGCCATCCTCATCGACGCCTAACTGCTCCCCTGCCACCCTGATTGTCCCTAGCTGGCCTTCTCTGGAACCCCGGTCACCCCCAAATGCCCTCCCTTGCATATTCCCTCTTTATTAAATAGGGTTTTTTCTTTATCATATTGGACAGTCCTAACTGGTTTGACTCAGTGGGTGGAGCATTGGCCTGTAGACTCAAGGGTCCCAGGTTTGATTCCGGTCAAGGGCAGGTACCTTGGTTGGGGGCATATACCCAGTGGGGGGGTGTGCAGGAGGCAGCTGATCGATGTTTCTCTCTTATAGATGTTTCCAGCTCTCTATTCCTTTCCCTTCCTCTCTGTAAAAAATTAATAAAATATATATGTTTTTAAAAAGAAACATTTAAAATTCCTTCATATCTGTCTGGCTGGTGTGAACCCAGGCTGCCACCACTGGAAGGGGATCACACCCTGGCCAGGCTGAGACCCTAGCCCAGGCTGCAGCCACTAGCCAGGTGATCGCACAGTGGGTTGTGCCCAGCCCTCCTGTCATGAGACCCCAGCCCAGGCTGCCTCCGGGGCCAGGGATCACACAGCTTTGGTGGGAGGCCCTGCTGGTCTGAGACCCCAGGCCAAGCTATCGCTGCGGCTGGGGGATCAAGGGGGGATGCGCAGCCCTAACAGCCTGAGACCCTAGCCCAGGCTGCTGCTGCTGCTGGCCTGAAGATCGTGCAGTGGGGATGTGCGGCCCTGCTAGCCTGAGGTCCCAGCCCAAGCTGCGGTAGCTGGCCAGGATCACGCTGAGCACTGGCGTGGCTGCGCCACTGGGCAAGGATCTCTGCATTGAGGGAAGGGAGGAAGGCGCCTCCTAGCTAGACAACCTGGATTGCTGCCACCAGGCAGACTTGGGAACTCTGGCAGGGCTAAGAGGACTAGGCACTGCCATCTTGTGGCTACGGGCGTCACCATTTTTGTCGCAGAGTGATGGTTAATTTGCATATTACTCTTATTAGATAGGACTAGCTGAAGGTTTATTAACTTCGTTGATCTTTCAAAGAACCAACTTTTGGTTTCACTGATTTTCTCTATTCTCTCTTTTATTTCCACACTAATCTTTATTATTTTTTCTCTGTGCTTTTAGTTTAGTTGGCTCTTTTTATTTCTAGATCATTAATGTGTATAATTAAATTATTGATTTGAGGTGTTTTTTAATGTACAAATTTACAGCAATAAATTTCCCAGTTAGCAATGCCTTTACTGTGTCCCAAAAGTTTTAGTACATGGTGTTTTCATTTTCATTCTTCTCAAGGTATTTTATTTTTTTTCTTTTTAATTTAAATTCGTTATTGGTTAAAGTATAACATAAGTCTCCTTTTTCCCCCCTTGCCCTCTCCCAAGCCACCTCCACCCCTCAGCAGATGCCCTTCCCTTACCCTCCCCCCAATCTGTGTCCATTGGTTATGCTCATATGCATGCAGACAAGTCCTTTGGTTGATCTATTATCCCCTAATCCCCACCTTCCCTCATAGGTTAGACAGTCTTTTTTATGACTCTGGTTCTATTTTGGTTAATCAGTTTATGTTTTTCATTCTATTTCACAAATGAGTGACATCAGCTGATATTTATCTTTCTTTGACTGACTTAGCATATTTATCTTTCTTTCACTTAGCATAATGTTCTCCAGTTCCATCCACATGGTTGCAAATGATAAGAATTCCTTCTTTTTTACTGCAGCCTACTGTTCCATTGTGTAGATGTACCACAGTTTTTTAATCCACTCATCTGCTGAGGGGCACTTAAGCTGTTTCCAAATCTTAACTATGGTAATTGTGCTGCTATGAACATAGGGGTGCATATATCCTTTCTGATTGGTGTTTCTGTTTTCTTGGGAAATATTCCTAGAAGTAGGATTACTGGTCAAATGGAAGTTTCATTTTTAATATTTTGTGGGAACACCATACTATTTTCCACAGTGGCAGCACCAGTCTGTATTTCGACCAGCAGTGCACAAGGGTTCCTTTATCTCCACATCCTCACCAGCACTTGTCATTTTTTATTTGTTAATATAGCCGTTCTGACAGATGTGAAATGGTATCTCATTGTTTGTTTGTTTTTTTAATTTGCATCTCTCAGATGATTAGTGACTTTGAGCATGTTTTCATATGTCTCTTGACCTTCTTATGTCTTCTTTTGAAAGTGTCTGTTTAGGTCCATTGCCCATTTTTTGATTGGGCTGTTTATCTTTCTTTTGTTAAGTTGTATGAGTTCTCTATAAATTTTGGAGATTAAGCCCTTATTGGAGATAACATTGGTAAATGTGTTCTCCCATTCAGTGGGCTTTCTTGTTGTTTTAATGGTTTCTTTCATTGTGCAGAAGTTTGTTATTTTGATAGTCCCGCTTGTTTATTTTCTCCTTAGTTTCATTGTCCTTTGGGCTGTATCAGTAAAGATATTGCTATGACAAATGTCTGCTATTTTGCTGCCTATGGCTTGTTCTAGGAATTTATGGTTTCCAGTCATACATATAAGTAATTTATCCATTTTGAGTTTATTTTTGTGTATGGTATAAGTTGGTGGTCTAGTTTCTTTCTTTTTTTTCACTTATCATATATTTTTTCATTATTAAAGGCAGTCCAATTATTGAAGAGACTGTCTTGATTCCATTGTATGTTCTTGCTTCCTTTGTCATATATTAATTGAGCATAGTGGTTTGGGTCGATTTATGTGTTCTCTGTTCTATTCCATTGGTCTATATGTCAGTTTTTGTGCCAGTTCCAGGCAGTTTTTGGAATGCTGGCTTTGTAGTATAGCTTGACATCTGGTATTGTGATCCCTCCAACTTTGTTCTTCTTTTTTAAGATAGCTGCAATTATTCGGGGGTCTTTTTATTCCAGATGACTTTTTAGAGAGTTTGTTCTAGATCTTTGAAGTATGCCATTGGTATTTTGATGGGGATTGCATTGAATCGGTAGTATGGTTGCTTTGGGTAGTATGAACATTTTAATGATGTTGATTCTACCAATCCATGAGTATGTTATATTCTTCCATTTGTTATGTCTTTCTTTATCTCTTTTTTCAGTGTCCTATAATTTTCTGAGTACAAGTCCTTTACCTTCTTGGTTAAATTTATTCCTAGGTATCTTAAATTTTTCGTTCCAATGGTAGATGGGATTATTTTTTTTAGTTTCTGTTTCTGTGAGTTCATTATTAGTGTATAAAAAAGCCATAGATTTCTATGTGTTAATTCTGTATCCTGCTATGTTGCCGAATTAATGTTATTTCTAGTAGTTCTTTTATTGAGTCTTTAGTGTTTAGTGATATTTGTACAATATCATGTTATCTGCAAATAATGACAATTTTACTTCTTCTTTTCCAATTTGGATATCTTTTATTTCTTCTTCTTGTCTGAACGCTATAACTAACACTTCCAGTACAATGTCAAATAGGAGTGCTGAGAATGTATATCCCTGTCTTGTTTTTGTTCTTAGGGAAAATTGTTTTAGTTTTTGCCCATTGAGTATGTTGTTGGCTGTAGGCTCGTCATATAAGCCTTTTATTGTGTTGAGGTATGATCCATCTTTTCCCACTTTGCTGAGAAATGGTGTTGGATTTTGACACATGCCTTTTCTACATCAATTGATATGATTATGTGATTTTTATCTGTCAATTTGTTTATGTGATGCATCACATTTATTGATTTGCAGATATTGTATCAGCCTTGCATCCTTGGGATAAATATCACTTGGTCACGGATTATGATCTTTCTAATCTAATACTGG